TCAGTGCATGTCAAATGCAAGTCATATTGATCACAAAAATATCCATACATTAATTAACTATACATGTATGTTTACTGTTACTCACCTCAAATTCATCAGTATTACCAGGACTAAATGTCTGTTGTCTGGCAGAACCGAGGAGTATTGGATCACTTTTACCTTTACTACCATAAACAACTAAATGAACTAGAGCATTATTTCGCGGATTGGATTCTGAGGAAGTTGTTATCCAAACTGTGTATTCATAATCTGCAAGACAAATGCAAAAACACACCAGTGTTGGATCAAGATAACTGCATTTTAAATAAAATATCTATGTATGTGTAACTTCTTACCCGCTTTGCTGACTTTCAGTTCTCTTTCAATCTTTTTATCATCTTGTCCAACATCTAACCATCTGAAAACAAAACATTAAGACATAAGCTGACCATTCATGTGATCACTTTGAGTGAACATAGATAGCACAGAGAGACATACATGAAAACAGGCATCACACTCACTTTCAGTATTACACCAAACACCTCCAAAATAAATTTAAATTTGTCTACCTGTCTACTGTTGTCCCTCAACAAAATACACAAACCATCTCTGCCCTCATTCATAGATGTAAAACTAACTTACTTTCTGCATGGGAAGTAGAAATCTTTGTCTGAATCTTCGGATTCCCTGATGATAACTTTATCTAAAAACCATCCTTTACCAGCCACCTTCCCATCATGTCCTATGACAACTTTCTTCAAATCCATCAGGTGAACTGCCTCAATCACAAATACATCTCTCTGCTCACGCTGGAATTTCACATCATTGTTCATGGATTTATAAAGTACACGTTTACCACTGTCACCCTTTTTACCATATATAGTCATAAACACATTGGCATTGGTTTCAGCTTTTGGCTCTCTACCAGTGAATACCTCCACATAATATTTCAGAACTGAATTTAAAGGATAAATTGAAGACATACATTTGTATTAAAAATTTCTGATATAATATTGATTCATCTTTATTTTTGGCCTGTCCAAATACAATTTCAATGAGTTAGAAAGAATCACAATAGTTGTGGCATACAAGATACAAAGTTACAAAAATTGATTGACATGCAAATTGGATAGTTATTATGCACAAATTGATATAAAATATTTGTCTACACAGACATCAAATGTTTCAAAACAGCTTAATTGTTATGCAATTTAGCTGATTAAAATGCATAAGGTTAATTCTCCTACACAGTCATGCTCCTACACAAAACATATGTGAGTGTACCAAGGTATGTATAATCAATTAGTATACAAATATAAACACAGATTAATTCCAATGTTTGTTTGCATGTGTGTGAGCAGATGATGAGTGTGAGTGTGTGGCAATATGATGTCATATGTGTAGCAGTATGATGTCATATGGTACCAGCCTATACTGAGACACCATGAAGTATGATGTCTAATGGTACCAGCTTATACTGAGACAGAAAGAAGTATGATGTCATATGGTACCAGCCTATACTGAGACAGAAGGAAGTATGATGTCATTTGGTACCAGCCTATACTGAGACACCAGAAAGTATGTCATATGGTACCAGCCTATACTGATACACCAGGAAGTATAATGTTATATGGTACCAGCCTACATGTATATTGAGACACCAGGAAGTATGTCATATTGTACCAGCCTATACTGAGACACCAGGCAGTATGATGTCATATTGTACCAGCCTATACTGAGACAGAAGGAAGTATGATGTCATTTGGTACCAGCCTATACTGAGACACCATGAAGTATGATGTCATATGGTACCAGCCTATACTGAGACACCAGGCAGTATGATGTCATATGGTACCAGCCAATACTGAGACACCAAGAAGTATGATGTCATATTGTACCAGCCTATACTGAGACACCAGGAAGTATGTCATATGGTACCAGCCTATACTGAGACACCATGAAGTATGTCATATGGTACCAGCCTATACTGAGACACCATGAAGTATGATGTCATATGGTACCAGCCTATACTGACACCATGAAGTATGATGACATATGGTACCAGCCTATACTGAGACACCAAGAAGTATGATGTCATATGGTACCAGCCTATACTGAGACACCAGTAATTATGATGTCATATGGTACCAGCCTATACTGAGACACCAGAAAGTATGTGACATATGGTACCAGCCTATACTGAGACACCAGGAAATATGATGTCATATGGTAACAGTCTATACTGAGACACCAGGAAGTATGTCATATGGTAGCAGCCTATATTGAGACACCAGGAAATATGTCATATGGTACCAGCCTATACTGAGACACCAGGAAGTATGATGTCATATGGTACCAGTCTATACTGAGACACCAGGAAGTATGATGTCATATGGTACCAGCCTATACTGAGACACCAGGAAGTATGTCATATGGTAGCAGCCTATATTGAGACACCAGGAAATATGGTGTCATATAGTACCAGCCTATACTGAGACACCAGGAAGTATGTCATATGGTAGCAGCCTATATTGAGACACCAGGAAATATGATGTCATATAGTACCAGCCTATACTGAGACACCAGGAAGTATGATGTCATATGGTACCAGCCTATACTGAGACAGAAGGAAGTATGATGTCATTTGGTACCAGCCTATACTGAGACACCATGAAGTAATATGTCATATGGTACCAGCCTATACTGAGACACCAGGCAGTATGATGGCATATGGTACCAGCCAATACTGAGACACCAAGAAGTATGATGTCATATTGTACCAGCCTATACTGAGACACCAGGAAGTATGTCATATGGTACCAGCCTATACTGAGACACCATGAAATATGATGTCATATGGTACCAGCCTATACTGAGACACCATGAAGTATGATGTCATATGGTACCAGCCTATACTGAGACACCATAAAGTATGATGTCATATGGTACCAGCCTATACTGACACCATGAAGTATGATGTCATATGGTACCAGCCTATACTGACATCATGAAGTATGATGTCATATGGTACCAGCCTATACTGAGACACCAGG